CTCACCAGCACTGACATAGAAGGTAAGTTTTTCAAGCTTAAAATGGGTGGTTTTTTTAATGCTGTGTGCACACGCAAAGTGCGTGCTCACCAAACCAGTTGTTAAACTGATTGCAGCCCACCACTGGACTTACTTCTTGTTGAAAATAGCAGTCAAGTTTGAATACAATATTGTCAGGAGGCAGAGTGGGGTTGTTTTGTTTTGGTTTTTGCCAATGCTGAAAAAAAAAATCTTGGCTTTTTTGTACTTAATAGCCATAGGCTGTTGACGTTTAACCAAGTTTTTAAAAATACTTCTGTGGTAACTATTTGTGGCTTCCTTAGTAACCTAACTCATACCCTCTTATGCAACATTAAGGTTTGGTGTGTATTAACATGCTACTGTTGAATTCAAAGGAAGGGCGCAACTTGGCTGAAAGACAGCACCAGTCATTCCTTCCTTTGACCCATTTTTTTTTGTCTCACTCATCCATTTGCCAAACTGCAAATAATAAACAGATGCGTCTTTTCTAACTTGTATATTACGGTTCTCCTTTGGGTTGTAATTCTTTAAGAAATGAAACAGTAAAAGCTGAATTAGCAGGATCCATCTCTCCAGGAAAGAAACAGAAGCTGAACAACAGTCTCCATGTAACGCACATCAGGACCCTCGTCTTGTGATAAAAAGGAGTTGGTTTGAGGTCTCCCGTAAATAAAGCATTTATCTTAATTAGAATGCTTTTTATGACCTTTTAGATAAGTAATCTAGTTAGCCAGAAACTAATGATTAAACCGTGTAACCTTCTAGTTCCAATATTATCTTGGAAACAGGATTAGCAGATACAAATAAATGTGGAAGTGTACGTTTGGGGGAGAAAGTCGTAAACATAGCGTTATGGCATTTTTGTACCCATGGTAAGGTTTATAGGCAGATAGTTGTCTGCAAATTTTTGATTGTACTTCTGATATTAAGAACTAAGCCCAGACTTCCGCTGTTGTTGTTTGCCAATTGTCCACCAATTCCCTGAACAGCCTTGGTCTTGGACAAGGTGTACATATCAGCCACATACATTTAATACATACATACATACATTGTGAGCTGTATGTATGTATGTATGTATTTATAAAATGTATGTGGCTGATATGTACACCTGGGCAGCTAAGAACAATCAACAAAAAGGATAAAACATACTACCGTATAAACTGATCAGAAAATAAAATTAAAATCATAGCGCAATAACCAGGGCAAATTCCCTTTGAGTGGGCCTATGTCAGTGGTAGCTAACCTTTTTGGGCTCCCATGCCAATAATTGCGCATGTGCTTGCCTGCTCATGCTCGTGTGCCATCGCCCAGAAGGCAATGCGCGTGGGGGCCCTCCCCATGCCTCCTGTGCATGCACGGGCAACCCACACTGTGCGCTTCTGCGCATGCGCAAGTGTCTCTGTGCTGTCGCGCCCTCGTGCATGCGTACCAGATAACCGACAATCAGCTGTCAGGTGGGCGGCGCATGTGCATGCGCAAAAGAACTTTTCTGGGCAAGTGCTTGTGTGCCGGCAGTAATGGTTCTGCATGCCACTTCTGGCACACATGCCATAGGTTTGCCACCCCGGGCCTATGTGTTGAGTAACCCTAACCTTAAGGTATACCTTGGCTTTCTGAGTTGCTTTGGAGAATGAAGCATCAGAAACAATGTCCCAAAGGTTCTTTTTCAAGAGGAAACTGGACTTTCTGGTTTTTTCCTTTGAAGATGTTTCGTTTCTTATCCAAGAAGAAGTTCTTCAGCTCTGGAAAAAGCACCTTTGAGACAACCATGACCTGGATGACTGAGAATCTCCTTAGACATCAGAAACAACATTTAGAATGCTGGTGAAGCATGCTGACTGGGGATTCTGGGAGTTGAAGTCCACACATCCTAAAGGTTGAGAAACACGGATTGAAAACATTTAGTGCATTTTTGAATTACAATAATACAAGTAGTCCTCATCTTGCGACTACAATTGAGCCCAAAATTTCTGTTGTTAAGCGAGACATTTGTCAAGTGAGCTTTGCTGTGAAGTGAATCACTGCAGTTGATAAGTTAGTAACGTGATGGTTAAGTGAATCTGGCTTCCCCATTGCTTTGGCTTGTCAGAAGGTTGCAAAAGGGGATCACATGACCCCAGGACACTATGACCGTCATAAATGTGAGTCAGTTGCCAAGCATCCAAATTTTGATCACGTGACTACAGGGGGGATGAGGCAAAGTTTGTAAGTGTGAAAAATGGTCATGTCCCTTTTTTCAACGCTGTTGTAACTTTGAACAGTCACTAAATGAACTGTTGTAAGTCAAGGACTATCTGTACCTTAACAAGTCTTTTTTTTTTAGATTGAAATATGGGAGTGAGAAGAACTTATGTAATTGAAAAATATTTTGGAAGTTAGATCAAGTCCCTGTTAGGAGAAGAACACTTTCATTTTTGTTCAGCTAAAATCCTCTGATAGGATTCAGAAAACGACCTCTTTAAGTCGTCCTGCAAAAGCCCAGGCATAATTACTATCTGTTTGCAAAAAGGGTTTTACAAAAAGGTTTGCCAAGGTATCCAACTAATAAGGAGAATCTAAGATCAACAAAACAAAGTTTGCCTTCAGATTAAGCTAAAATCAACATGCTCGCTTTTAACTTGATGTGCAAAGTGGCAGTGCAGTTCAAGCCTATAGGAAAAAACAGCGTCGCTTCTAGACAACTTAAGACCTAAGAAAATAGTTTGTGTTTTGGTGCACAGATGATGTTTAGAAATAGATTATAGGTGCAGTGATCTGTGCTGCTTCAGCTTTGCAAGGAGGTGATCTTAGTTTTAAATGTTTTGTCTTAAGAATCGATGCAAATAAGGAAACAGGACATCTGGCAAGCAACTGATTGCACAAAGTTTCTATTCATTTGGGGAATAACAAAAATTATCCGTTTTTTCCCCCCATCTGCAAGCTGATGTTCCTGTTCTAACGCATGTAGAAATTTGGAGACTTCATGACTACTTGTCGGTAGTGTTTTTATTTGTTTTCTTCTCTGTGTTCCTGGAAATCAGTTTTATCTAGGGTATTTTAATCTAAGGTCAAAGTAGAAAGAGTTAAATATAGCACAGCAACCAAAAACTATTGATTTTCAGTACCCAAATATTTAACCTGGATGTCATGGTCCATAAAGTCTTTTTAAACTTTCTGGAAACTCTACAAATACATGAATCTGGTAGCAGATCCCTTTTCAAACTTTAGCCTTGGTGGGGAGACTTTGAATATTTTGCCCTCAGAAGACTTTTGTAGATTATACGGATTATTCACCCTTATAATTAAGTCAATATTTAACTGTTCCAGAAGCTCCCTGGAAATTACTTCGCTCTAGCATTAGGGTAACAGAATGTCAACCAGAGAGGTGAAATATTCTGAACCTTAACAAATGCTGGAAGCATCCCTTTAACTTGAAGTTCAATGTAAATATGATTTGGATCCTTGTAGCAGTAATGACAGGGGATGTGACAGTTCAGTGGTTAAACACACTTAGCTTGTCAGCTAGAAAGCTGACTGCTTGGGTTCGATACCCAAGCGCCCAATGATGGGTGAGCTCCCATTACTTGGCACAGCTTTTGACCTAGCAGTTCGAAAGCATGCAAATGCAAGTAGATAAATAGGTACCATTTCACTGGGAAGACAGCAGTGTTCTGTGCGCTTTGGCATATAATCATGCTAGCCACATGATCACAGAAGTGTCACTGGACAATGCTGGCTCTCTCAGCTAAGAAACAGAGGTGAACCCTACCCCTATAGTTGGATACAATTAGACAGGGGAAACCTTTACTTTTATCTTTAGCCATAATGGCAAAGTTGACCCATGAACAGTGCCATGTGTCTTGAAAATATTTTTGCAGCATATAATGTTTACGCTTGGCTCACTGACACCGATCTTTCTGTGAGCTTTTTTAGTTTTTCCAGATTCAGCACCTTCAGCGCTCAAAAAAGGCTTCCTTGAAACATCTCTTTTCTGTTGTTGGCCATATTCTGAAACTCATTTTAGGAAGGCCTGTGGACAGCTACTTTTAAGTTGTTCTGCTTTTTCGTAGCAGATGTTAGGATCATTTTCACAGTTCTGTCAGAAGAGTCAGTCAGCTTGTTAACAAGCCATTTATATAGCAGGAATCTCATTGATTTCAATAGGTTTTTGGCGTGGGCATTGATAAGATGTCCTTGTGGCTAATCATTGAGTGTTGAACAAACCAGCAAACCTCATATCCATCAAAGACTAGAGAAACCCCCAACAATTGAAATAGCCCATCATAAAATGTCTATATTTCTTTTTTTACTACTAGCAGGTTGACATAGGAGGTAGAGATGGAGAAATGAAACAGCAGTTCTCTTTAGAAGTGATTTTAATTACTGGAGCAGAGATAAAAGAAAAATCATACCTGAACGCAGTCAGCAGCTATATAATAGCATTTTAAGCTTGGTGGGTTTCTTTATGTAATAGCATTTATAATTTTCCTTGCAATGGAATTGCGATTTTTAAGAGATGGATTGAGGGAAGGAAAGTTACCAGTCTAGTATAATATACAGTGACCCTGAACTAGAATAAACCATAACACACAGTATTTCTGCAATCATAAACAAATCTAATCATAAAATCCCGGGGTTAAAGTTTCATTTCTTTCAGTTTCAAGCTAAAAATTCAAAAGTGGTTTCCAAGTAGAAATAAAGTTAGACAAAAAATATTCTTTTTTAATCAAAGCAGTCGCTTTTGCTGTCTGTGCCAGCTCCATTAAATTTCAGCATCCATTCTTCCATTGCAGGTATTTGCGGTTCCACCTTAAAGAACACAATTTAATGTTTAATTTGCTCCTCTCTGTTAACAAGCTGTTGGCTTTAATATCACAAATGAGCATATGGCCATCTTTGGGCTTTCCTCCTTTCTTCTGATCTAATTGTACCAATTAGCTTGCAAAAAAAGAACTAGAAATGAACACGCTAATGACAAAGATATTTTATTTTGTTTTTAGTTCCCAAGAGGATGAAAGGCCTTTATCACCATTCTATCTGAGGTATTTATATATATTTATATTCTGTTTGGAGGCTTGATTCATAAGAAAAGGCTGCAGAGGACAATTACTAGCCATTTGCAAAGGTTTTGCCCAAAAACATTTCCTTCCTAGACAATGACTTAAGAGAATCTATAGATCTATAACAGATAGATATCCATCCACAACATGAAAACTGCATTTACCCTGCAATAAGCCATGGTTTCTGCATAATGGTTTATTGATTGGACTACAATGGGAAACTGATTGATGCTGATTGTTGTTATTGCTAACTTGTAGGACCGTGTAAGGATATCTTAGCTTAATTTGACTTCATTCCCTTCTTCGTGTTTAAGAATAGAAATCTGTGGCTTTGGGCTAGATTGCTAGGAGGAATAAATTTGGCAGGAAGAGAAAATGCTGGCCACTGGTTGATACTTCATCCCTTTTATGCTCTTGTGATGAGAAGCGGGTGTTCATATTTAATTGATTTCCCTCCTTTGCCTTGGTAACCTCATTACAAAAATTAAAGAGGAATGGCTTGGGTAATTTTTGTGTCGGCATCTGTTTTATTTAGAGCTGCTGTTCTGGCTTGCAAAACACCAGCTGACCAATAGATGGCAGCAAAAAACAAGTTACTTTCGCTGTCACCTGGTGGTCTTGTAGACCTTTGCAGCCCCAGATAATCACAGTGCCAGAGAGCTGTTTATTTTCCTTTGTTCCCCTTATTGTTTTGTGAACTTCCTGACACCCAAATTCAACTCACTGTAGACTTATTTGTGTGATAGAACAACAGAGCAATGAATGTAAACATATGAAGGATGTGGGCTGCAACTTATGCAGTACACAAAAGAGCTGCTCTCAACTGATTGGGGTGATAACCTAATAGAGCCACTTGGCTTGAAATCGCCAGATTAATAGGGGG